CAATACATCATATGTTAATTTAAAAAATTAAAAAAGAAAAACACAAAAAAATGAAAACAAAAAACCCACAAAGGAGCACAGCTGCACCACGTCAAGAACTCACTCCAGAAAGGAGCTGTGCGAGCGCCCAGGCACTGTGACCCAAGCCTGAGTGAGAAGGAAAACTCCGGCGGGTCCAGCCGCACACGGCGTGGATGCTGAAAGCAGAAGAGAATTTTAAAGCAGCTACTACAGGTGCTCAAGGGAGTAACAGGAAACAGGGACCGACAGTCGCAGCAGTCACACAGAAAACAGAAAAAACTGGAATTCTGGAAATGAAAGGCAGGTCAGAAATCGCAATCTAAATGCATCAGGATATGTAACACGAACCCGTCACGGCTGAGTGGGGCTCGCGGCAAGGATACAGCTCGGCTCTGCATTCAGGCACCTGCGCTCGTGTCTGGATAAACGGCCCAAGACACCGAACTCCAATCGCCTCATCGGGTGCAGAGGAGCCCGGGTGCATCGGGTGCAGAGGAGCCCCTGCCGAAATCTGCCCCCTGCGCGCCGCAGAGCGTGGGCGGGCAGGCCCAGCTGGGGACCTCGTCTCCCCTGGCCACAGCGGACGCCCCAACCGACAGAGGGGCGCCGGGCAAGGAGCGCGGAGGGACGGAGGCTGCTTGGTGGCACGGGTCGGGCCCGAGCGAGAGGCGGGAAAGGCTAAGGACCGGAAAGGGAAAAACAAAAGGGTCTTTCCTCCAGCCAACAGGAATCCGGACTCTTAAGCTCCACGGGAATGCAGTGAACAAAATTCAGAATGTGGGAGACAAATGGCCCAATTTCTTCGATAAAGAAGTTGTGAGGAAACAGGGGGCGGAGCTCTAGATCCGGACACGCAGCACATGAGGCCACGACACACAGAGCGGAACACGGACTCGCACAAACCAGCTCCTGAACACGGGAGACCATCAGACAGCTGAAGCACGGATGGATTTTTACCGAGGGAATTAGTGCTCATCTTTTCCTAAGTGTGACAAAAGTAATGTGGCTATGTCCTTAGGACGTCCACACGGAAGATTTACAGACGATCGGAGCTGTGAGATCAGCCACGGCGCGACGGCCTCAGCGGGACCAGCAGTCTCCAAGGCCTTCCTGCCACCTTCCCACACGCTCCCAACTGGCCCTATCACAAAACTGTTCAAACTCAAATAAAAATCAGGCGCCTGAGGGGCGCCATCGGCTGAGCGTCCAACTCTTGATTTCGGCGAAGGTCACGATCTCAGGCTAGTAAGATCAAGCCCCAGGTGGGGGCTCCGGGCTCAGTGAGGGGTTTGCTCAGAATTCTCTCCCTCTGCCTCTTAGCCACCCCCCCAACCTTGCTTGTGAGCTCTTTCTCTAAATTAAATACATCTTAAAAACAAACAGTTTTAGGGGCGCCTGGGTGGCTCAGTGGGTTAAAGCCTCTGCCTTCGGCTCAGGTCATGATCTCAGGGTCCTGGGATCGAGCCCCACATCGGGCTCTCTGCTCAGCGGGGAGCCTGCTTCCGCCTCTCTCTCTCTCTGCCTGCCTCTGCCTGCTTGTGATCTCTGTCTGTCCAATAAATAAATAAAATCTTAAAAAATAAAAACAATTTTAAAGTCCAGTGAAAACCCTAAGCGGAAAAGATGCACATCAGGCACTAACAGTGAGCACAGGCAGAAACATTTGCCCCAAGTGCTCGTCAAACTGCTTAGTATACGCAGATGTGGTCAGCCTTGTAGCCCAGAGCTCTGAGGTCCATGTCTGGTTGGATACACCCTAAAATGAACTGCATCAAAACTCCAACATCACCCTCTCGTTTCATGGTTACTAGTACTACTATTACTATAAACACAAAGCTATTTTATACTATTTTATGTAATTAAGGGAGTACGTCAGTAGACGTATTTATGTAATTAAGGAGCCCAGCTTTTCAATGTTAGAAAAAGATGGGGAAAAAAACCCAGTCCTGCAGTACTAGATTTCAACTGGAAACTTAAAGTCACATGGGTCTTCCTACATACACACACACACGTGTATCCTTTTTCAAATAATGAGACAAGAAGCTGAAAAACTCTAGGTCCACGGTCCATGTACCATCACGCAGCCTCTCCCACCGCCTACCCAGCTCTGGTTCATCACCTCGACTACGACACGGACATACACGCATGACACAATCAACTATGGGCCATACTCGGGCTCCGGTTTTATATGCACCAATAAGAAAGAGCAGTGATACACACCACCACGAGGACTCCCAGAAACATGAGGCCAGAAAGAAACCAGACATGGGGATCTGTGTGCTGGGACGCCATGTAGCTGCAGACCCATCCACAGTGACAGACACCAGAAAGGGAGGAGGAGGATCTGGAAAGGAACATAGTCATATTCTGGGTGACAGACCTGTTCTCCATCTTGTTTTGGGTAACCAGGACATGGATGTGACCACTGTCACACGTCAGCCCCATAAAAATAGTTTCAGTCTGAGCCAAAAAGACTTCAAAAAGAAAAGAGAAAGGAAGGGAGAGGAAGGGTCTTCCCTGTCAGACAATCAGCTAGGAGATGCAGAAGGCACGAGAGCGGTAGAAAGCGGTCACACACTCTCCTCCTCCCATGGGGTAGAGCATGAGACTCCTGGCACAGAGGTCGCTCCAAGCCCAGGGACAGCTCGAAGCCCACACGCCAAGAGCAGAGGCAGAAGTCTGTGTCAACACTGGAGAGACCCTGGCCACGCTGTGCCACAGCCAAACCCTGACCTCCCACATGAGGCCACACGTGGTCTGCTGCCTTGCTGGGAAGGATCCGTGTCCAGACTGCTGGACTTGACCCCCTGACCGCAGTCAAGCTTCCCAGCTATCTTCCTGCTCATGGAGCACACGCTGCAGGAAGAGGACAAGGCGAATGACTAAACCAGACTGATCCAGGAGGTCATCCTCCAAGACAACGGGCCCGGACTCCTCCCAACTCAAGATCATGAAAGGCTTTATTTTTATTCATTTTTTAAAAAGATTTTTATTTATTTGACAGAAAAAGATCACAAGTAGGCAGAGAGGCAGGCAGAGAGAGAGAGGGAAGCGGGCTCCCCGCTGAGCAGAGCGCCCGATGCGGGGCTCGATCCCAGGACCCTGGGATCATGACCTGACCAGAAGCCAGAGGCCCAACCCCCTGAGCCACCCAGGCGCCCATGAAGGCCTTTTTTTAACGGAGATACAGTGTAGAGGGACCTGTTCCAGATTTAAAACTAGACACCTGGGGCGCCTGGGTGGCTCAGTGGGTTAAGCCTCTGCCTTCGGCTCAGGTCATGATCTCAGGGTCCTGGGATCGAGCCCCACATCGGGCTCTCTGCTCAGCGGGGAGCCTGCTTCCCTTCCTCTCTCTCTGCCTGCCTCTCTGCCTACTTGTGGTCTTTCTCTGTCAAATAAATAAATAAAATAAAATAAACAAAACTCAATTATTTAAAACAAACGAACAAACTAGACACCTGACTAACCAAAGACACGTGTGAGCCTTGAATAATCCTGGGATGGGGGGCAGCTGTGGAGGGCACTGAGGCAACCAGGGGACGTGGACTGCTTACAGTACACACTGGCTACTTTTGGGGGCTGGGGGACCCATACTGGAACTATTTAGGGACAAAGTGTCATAACGTCTATAACCTGGTTTCAAACTCGCTTTTTTCAAAATGGTAACGGAAAGGAAGACCAGGCGAGTGGGAAACGTTCACGGAGGCCGAGAGCACGCTGGTGTTCACGGTCCCGTTTCTCCACTTTTCTTTTTGATACTTTTAGTAATAAAAAGCAGGAATAGATTTGTCACATCTGTTCCCTCTCTGACTTCATCCCACACATCCCCAACCCTGCTGGCTTGGGCCCCCCCTTTTGCTGTACCCCTCTTCCCAAGTACCCCCATCCCCGCCTCACGTCCTTTCCTCCTTCAGCTTCGGACCAAAATGTCATTTCTCAGCTTTTTCCTGACTGCCCTATTTAAAATGTCAATTCCAAGGGGCGCCCAGTGGCTCAGTCCCTAGAGCATACGCCTCTTGACTTTGGGGTCATGAGTTTGAGCCCCACAATGGGTGTACAGTTCACTTAAGAATAGTTAAAAATAAAAAGGCAATCACCAAAACAACACTCACCTCTTCACACACATACACTATCTTTCTCTGCTTTCCACACCTACAGAGTAATTCTCGTCATCAAGCATCCCACACTTCCCCTACTTCTTGGTTTACCCCGCTCGCACACACACTCCGCCCATTAGACTGTCTCCTCCTGGCAAACAAACGCTCTACGTTTTGCTCATTTCTGCATTCCCACCACACACCCTACCACACAGTATGCTCAATAAAAAACACTACTGGGTTTCTGCTTCCCGACCCCGCGACTCCACTTCTGGGGTCCTGCCTTAGGAAACCGCGCACCGGCTCAGGAAGAGTCCGGACGAGGAAGTTCTGCACAGCACTGCTTCTCAGGGCCAACGAGCTTAAACAGAACGTTTCCGGATACAGCAATGCAGCGCCATCCTCTAATAGACCAAGCATCAAGTGAGAAGCATGGAGGCCGGTGGAACTCCCCACCAGGAGGACACACGGTGATTCCCGACACCAAATGAGCAAACCCGTGTAGCTCGCGCTGTTCGAAAAAAGGCAGAAGATACGTTTTAAAAAACAGCGGCAGAAAGCACCAAAGCACATTAATGCACGTTGTTCCTTGTACGTTTAGGCCCGTAAAAGCACAAAAGACGTCAGGGCCCAACGGTTAACGAGAATCACCTCCACAAAAAGACCTAAAGCGAACTCATCCGGACAACCTGTTTAACTGGTATTAGAACGTTCTGGAGATACTAACGCTGGTGCACTCGAAGACTGAGCGGCTGACAAGCGAACGCACGCGCCCCGCGCCCTTCCAAGGGTCCTCCTCCCAGGCTGCCCCGTCCACCCGCGGGGGCTCCCCGCTCCCCTCCCTGGTCGCCCCCATGGGCGCGGCCAGGGCCCCGCACTCACCAGACACGGGTGAAGGGTCCTTCTTGGGCTGGAGGCGACTGGTCTGGGGCAGGAACGGGTTGTTGAGCCTGCGAGAAGCGGCAGGGTCAGCGGCAACCGAGCTCGGGGCTGTCCCTCCGCGCCCCGCCGCGCCCCGCGGGGCCGCTCACCCGAACGCGTTGGGCTCCTCCACCACTTTCATCTTGGCGGCAGCGGCGGGCGCGGGCCCTGCGGGGAAGCGGGCGGTGAGGAGGCGCGCGGGAGGCGGGGGGCGGGGGGCGGCGCACGCGAGGGGCCCGGGAGCGCAGGGACACTAACCGCGCGCCGCGAGCCCCAGCAGCAGCAGAAAGCCGGCCAGCCCCGCCGCCATCGCTCCGCCGCGCGCCCGGTGACGTAGGCACCACCCTGTCACGTGGGCGCCGCCGGACCGGAAGTGGCGCTCGGCGCCTGCGCGAGCGCTCGTGGCTCACCTGTGAATCCGCAGGTGTCAGGGGCCCTGCTACCCGCCATGGGCCGCAGAAGGGCCGCGCGGAGGCCGGGGGCCGAAGGCAGCCGCGCTCGGCACCCAGTGGGCCGCTCCCTGGAGGCCTTCGCCGAGGAGGTGGGCGCCGCGCTGCGCGGTGAGTGGGGGCGATCGGGGCCGCGGGGCAGGGAGCCGGGGGCTGGGGGCCGGCTCGACGGGCTGGGGCTGAGGCTCGGTATCCTTCCGCGCCCCCGTGCAGCGTCCGTGGAACCAGAGGCGGCCGAGGACGGGGGCCCCTCGGGCCTGGCGCGACTACCCTGCACGCTGGCCATGTGGGAGCTGGGCCACTGTGACCCCCGGCGCTGTACCGGCCGAAAGCTGGCCCGCCTGGGTCTGGTGCGCTGCCTGCGCCTGGGCCACAGATTCGGCGGCGTCGTGCTCAGCCCGGTGGGCTCCCAGTACGTGTCCCCCGCGGACAGGTAGGATCGGGGCCCGGGGATGGGGGAGTGGGCGGGACCCTGGCACATCCTTCTTGCCGGGCTCCGCGAAGCGTGCGTGTATAGGTCGCCCCCGCTGCCTAGCGCAGGGTCTAGTAGGTCTCAGTAAACGTGTGTTGAGTGAATGAAGGAATCCGCTGCAGGAACACACACTGCTGGGGCTGTTTGGGGGCGGAGGAATGATGTTCTTGTGTCCCTGGAGAGGTCAGTCTCCAGGGACGTCGTCTCCAGAACCTAGCCCTCCCCTGCTCCCGACAGACAGCTGGTGGCACAGAGTGGGGTCGCTGTGGTCGACTGCTCCTGGGCCCGCCTGGATGAGACCCCGTTCGGGAAGATGCGGGGGAGCCACGTGCGGCTGCTGCCCCACCTAGTCGCCGCCAACCCCGTGAACTACGGCCGGCCCTGCAAGCTGTCCTGTGTGGAGGCTTTTGCCGCCACCTTTTGCATCCTGGGTGAGTGCCGGCGAGCGGCTGAGTCTGGCCACACCAGCAGCATTGTTTTCCACCATCTCCTCTTGCGAGCAGTGTGAGGGTATGTGGGGTGGTCGAGGTGGACAGGCCAGGACTGCAGTGCCACCTGTCACCCCTCACCTTGCCCTCAGAGAACACATGGTCCCTGTGGAGGCTCGGACAGGCAGCCCCGTGAGAGGGCCTCTGTGCATGGCAGAGGCGGGCAAGCAGCATGTCTGGACTGTAGGATGGTGTCTGATGGGGAGTTTCAGGTGTGGGGATGGCATTGTGGGTCCCGGGGATACACTTGGGATGGGAGACGGATTGTCAGCATTGTTGGGTTTCTGGTGTCCGCACCGTCAGGTTTCTCGGACCTTGCTGTCATTTTGCTGCGGAAGTTCAAGTGGGGCAAGGGCTTCCTAGACCTGAACCGCCAGCTCCTGGACAAGTATGCAGCCTGCGGCAGCGCGGAGGAGGTACTCCAGGCCGAGCAGGAGTTCCTGGCCCACGCCAAGGAGCGCCCGGAGGAGGAGGAAATCGGTGAGGCCTGGCATGGATGCAAGCCCTCTGGTTGGGAGCCAGGACCATCCGGGCATGCCACACCTCCTTTTGAGAAGCCGAGGGGCTGAGGCCTTGCTGCCCCAGCACCTGGGAGGCTTGGTTGTACTCTGAGCTCACCTGTACGTCCCTTTCTTGTTTGCTTCCTCTGTTCAGATCCTTTTGACGTGGATTCTGGGCGTGAGTTTGCAAACCCCAACAGGCCAGAGGCCGGCAACCGGTAGGTCCTTGGGCTTCCCAGGGAACAGGAGAATCTGCCCTCAGCTGGACTTTTGTCGAGCGAGTGCGCCCTCGGTGAACATACCTGTCCCTTCCAGGCTGCTTGCAGACAGCGGTGACAGCGACAGTGAGGACGAGTCTGAGGGGCACGGCCCTGATGCCGAGGACGGAGGAGACCACGGCAGCAGCAGCTGCCCTGAGGAGGACAGTCCTCTTGAGCAAGGGGCAAAGGCCAAGGCCCCCGCAGAGATTTGGGAAGGAATCGAGAAACGGCAGAGAGACTAAAGACTGCACACGTTTATTTTCATGGCGGAGCAATGAGGACTTGGAGACACAGCAGGACTTGTGGGGACACAAACAGGCCTAGCAGCCTCAGCCCTCATAGCACTGAGCAGCACCAGACTCTGTCCCCATGCATGTGACATGGCTGTGCTCTGGGGCTGTCCAGCCCTCCCACTGAAGCTGCGGGCCAAGGAGACCCCAGTGTGAGCCTGTTTCTTTGCACTTGGTCTGGGGGATGGGGAGGCTTGCGGGGGATGAGTATCCAGTGAGGCAGGGCCTGCCTGGGAAGGGTATGGACCGTGGGGGTGCCAGGCGTGAGGCTGGTCTCGCACGGGCAGGCGCAGGTAGACACACAATATGCTGGACAGCTGCATGCCCAGCACAGGGCTCCTTACATGGACCAACTCTGCGTGATGTCCCCAGCCTCACAGTGATGCCAGGGGACCCTCTCCCAGGCCTCAGAGCCAGGTGGGGAGTGGAGACCTATGCAGTTCTTAAGCAAACCTGTCCATACACCTTCTGGGTGAAGGGTTCTGGGTGCCCACCCTCCCCTTTGTCAGAGCCCCTGGGAGCTATTTCCTGCCACCTTGCTTAGTCCAGACTAAAACCCAACCTGTCCTGCCTCTTGGCCCACAAGGCCCTGCCACACTCCCAGCCCCAGAAGAGAAGACAGAGCTTCTTCTAAGATGGGCTCTTTGCTATGGCGCTGGTAACATCTGAGAGTGGCCCACCTTTGCTCAGGGGCATCCCTGGTCTCGACACTAGTGCCAGTAGCCCCTCCTCCAGCCTATAGTTGCGACCACCAAAACTGACTACAGACATGGCTTAACGTTTCCTGGGATGCTAAGCCACCCCACTGAGAACCCTGCTCTCGGACCGGTGTCTGCCTGCCGTGTGGCCATGGGAGCCGAGCAGGCAGACGGGGAAGCTCACCTTGTGGCCAGGCCCCACCAAGTCAACCCCCCAGACCCAGCATGGGGGTTGCTGGATGGATTCGCGGGGTTCACAGGACACACCACATGGACACGGGCAGGGCAGGAAGGAGCGGGAGGGCCAGCTGCGCATGCACACCATATGGCGGGGTGGGGGAGTGAGCCCCGGCTGCACAAAGCTGACCACAGGGCTGGATGAGGATGATGAGGGGACTCGTGGAGGGGCTCAAGGGTCTGCTTCCATGCTCTTCTCCAGCTCCTTGAGTTTCTTGACAAACTCCTGCGCCTCCTTGTTGGTGCGGCCCTCCAGCATCCTGAGCGCTGACTTCACTGCGGGCGGGGCGGAGAGGGGCGGCGTGAGCCCCTACCTCCAGCCAACCCTCCACCCCCCCGGGGACCCGCACTCACCCTGGGCTCTGGGCCGGCGCAGGTGCAGGGTGACAGGCTGCCTGGCCCTCGCGCTCCCTCCCACTTGCGGCCGCGCTATGCCACCAATGCTGCCCAGGCCGAGGGCCGCCTCCCCCGCGAAGTCGTTGGTGGACAGCCAGTCGTGGTCCATGACCGTGAACAGCACGCAGGCGCCGCGGCGGCGGCACGCCTCTGCCGGCACGGAGCTGCGGGCGGAGGGCGGTCATCGGAGCCCTGCTCCGGCCCGGGCTGCGGCGCGCGCGCGAGAACCGCTGGGGGCGGGGCGGGACACTCACAAGTAGAAGAGCTCGTCGTACACCGGGTGCAGCGTCCGGCTCTTGACCTGCGTCCTCTGGCTGCGCACCAGCGGGAAGAGGTGGGGCGGGCCCAGCTCCACAATCACGAAAGGGTCGCTCAGGCCTGTGGGGCGCAGCCAGGAGCGGGCCGTGAGCGCCGCCACCCGGCAGCCCTCCAGCCCCGCGCCCCGCCGGCGCCCCGCCCCCTCACCATTGGCGTCCAGCGGGGGCAGGTCCGCGGCGTGCAGGACCTCCACCACCAGCCTCTGCTCCGCCGCCTCGTAGTGGCAGCGGACGCTCAGGCGCCCAAACCGGTTCTGCTCCAGAGACCTCTGTGGAAGGGCTCAGGCCAGTGACCAGGCTGGGGTGGGGGCGGGGAGCGCGGGGAGAGGCCGAGTGCGCAGCCCCCGGCCTGGCTACCTGCTTGAGCTTGTCCAGGTAGTACTGCTCGATGCACTCGCGGGTGGAGCACTGGTGCAGACGCAGCTCCTCCTCCAGCCTCTGCGGGGCGCACGGGGCGCTGAGCACGGCCCCCAGGGCGCACAACCCCCCCTCGGCGGGAGGCCCCCAGGCCAGGCCTCACCTTGTAGCTTCCGTCCCTCAGGCTCTCCAAGGGCAGACCCTGACCATCCGCGTGGAAAAAATTCACCAGGGCCTGGGGCAGGGCAAGAAGGCAGAGCCGTCAGAGGCACAGCCGTCCGGGGGCCACAGGCTGAGACTGGTGGACCCGCTTCTCACGCCTCGCGCCCCTCTGAAGCCCCAGGCCAGTGGGGAACAATGCCAAGGCCCCGGGGCCCAGGTGCTGCTGACACAGTGGGCGGGCAGGCAGGAGGTGCCGGGCGGCCAGGATCCCCGAGGAGCCCTTCAGGCCTGGAAGGCCAGGCGCCCCAGCAGGGACCGCTCCTCCGCAGGGCCCTACCTCCAGCGCGAAGTGAAAGCGGCCGTAGAAGTCTGCGGAGACGTCGAGGTTGGCCCCGAGGGCCTGCAGGACGGCCTGTAGCAGCAGCTCCCAGAGGGCCTCCAGCACCCTGCAGGGACACCCAGCGTCGGCGGCGGCACCGCGGGCCGCACCCCGCCCCCCCGGCCCCAGCCCTACCTGCTCAGATTCTCCTTGACCAGCGCCACATTCAGCAGGGCCAGCTTCTCGTCCAGGTACTTCATGAGCGGGGCCACAGCCTGCGGGCAGCACCCTCAGCGCCAGCCCGCCCACGGGCCCCCCACACGTCCCCAGCCGGCCGCGCACGCACCTCGTCGTTCTGGATGGAGTCCGGCGACAGGCTGATGTGCTGCACGTACTTCCGGATGTCGGCCACCATCTGCGGGAGGGCAGCGCTCGGCACCCCGTGGCAGGGCACCAGGCAGCCGGCTCCCCCACCTGCCCACCGGCCCGCCCACCTTGGAGGTCAGGTGTGCAGTCACGGTCTGGACCTCCTGCTGCAGGTCTTCGTCCAGGGCCTGCGTGCAGCTGAGCAGGGGCCGTGGGAGCCCCCCTTCCAGAGCCAAGGTGGCCTCCGGCCACGCCAGACCCCGCAGAGCCTGCCCAGCAGCCTTGCGGAGGAGCTCCACATTGTTGAGCACCACGCAGAGCTGGGGAGGCAGGCCAGATGTGGGCGAGTGCGTGAGCAGCCCCGCACCAGCCCCACACAGCCACCAGCCCCCCGCCACTTGGCCACCAGCCTGCTCACTGCCTCGCTCACTGCCTCGCCTGCGGCCCCAGGCTGAGCGTCCACCTTCTTCCGCAACAGCTCAGTGTAGAAGAGGGTGGCCTCGCACAGGTCCTAGGGTGAGACACGAGGGGTGGGAGCTGTGGGCTGTGTCCCCTGGTGCTGCTGCCCTCCCACCCACACTCCCCAAACCCACAGCCACACACCTGGCTCAGCTGGGTGCCCAGCTCCTGGGCCTGGGCAGGGTCTGGCCACGCCAGGCGGGCCCACAGCTCCTGGATGTGACTGAAGCAGAGGCTGGCAGTGGCCGCGGAGCTGCTGTGCTTGGAGGAGGCATCCGTGGGCTCCAGCTAGAGGGCGGGAAGAGGCCTGGGTTGCAGGGCAGCCCTGGCTGAGCCCAGCAGCCTAGGGCCTGGGTCTTACTCACTGTGTCCACGTCCACGGCTCCCTGCAGTCTGCACCTGGCCTGGTCCCGGAGCACCTGCAGCCAGAGCTTCACGGCGGGCAGGAAGGGGGCGTGGATGCCGGCCAGAGCAAGGGAGCGGCTGTCGCTGCAGCAGGGGCCCGACAGAGCTCACCCTGACTCAGACACCCGGAGTCAGTAAACCCCGGGTGCCCTCCCTCCCAGGGCCCTTAGGATCCTGTCCCAGGGGCCTCCTAGAGGAAGCTGGAGGACAGCCGGGGCGGGGGGATGGGGAGGAGTGGGGATGGGTCTGGGAGGCAAAGAGTGGACAGAGACAGGTGGGGGCGGGTGGAGGGAAGGGGAGAGGCTGGGCAGGGCACCCACCGGCCGGGGAGGCTGCTCCAGAAGCCCTGAATGTCGGCCAGGGTCAGGTACAGCTCAAAGAGCCCCGAGGCCACCTCGAGGGTCAACTTGGGGCTCAGCTCCTCCGTCAGCACCCACGCCTCCTCGGCCACCTGTCATGGTGGAGTCAGGGGCTGCGGGCAAAAAGGAAACCGAGGCGCCCTCCCAGCCAGGGGGCTTCTCCCCACTCCCCTCCTCACCAGACGTTCCAGCTGCCGGAAGGTGAGGGTGAAGAAATCGATCTCGACGATGCTGCAAAACAAACCCCACACGCCTGCTTGTCCCACGCCCGGCCTGGCGGCGTCCCCGAGGGGCCAGGGCAGGGGCCCCACCTGTGGAAGAGGCTGGCGTAGACCCCATAGCAGGACTGCAGATCCTCGTAGACAGCGTCAGCCAGCTGCACCAGCCCGGCGAGGCGCTGTGGCCCCGGCTGCGAGGAAGCGTGGTTCACGTGAGCTCCGGGCCTACCTCGCCCCACCCCGCCCCTGTGGCCGGGCCCTCCCCGAGCAGCACCTGCTCCCGAGGACTCTTGCTGTTCAGGAGCCTGTCGTACCACTCACGGTTGCCTCTCTGCAAGACAAGCAGAGACTGGCAGTGGCCGTTCCCCACACCGAGACGCTGTGGGGAATGGGGGAGGCTAAAAGGAGAGTGACAGAGTAGGCCAAGCCGGAGCCGGGGCGGGCAGCTGGGGGTGGGACACACCTTCAGGGCCGCGGCGATGTCCATGTTCAGCTCCGTCTCGAAGGGACAGCTCTCAAAGGACGGCTGGAAGAGCTGCATCTTGCTGAGACACCTGGACAGGGGCCACCTGCTGACTGCGGCCGCCCCAGTCCCGTGCATCCCCCTCCCCCGCCCCGCCAGCACTGGAGCGGCACCCACTTCAGCAGCAGCTCCAGGCGGTACACGGCTGTGCTGTTGGTGGCTGGGAAATAGTCTCGCAACTGGCGCAGCAGCCGCAGCCCGAACTCGGAGAAGGCAGAGAAGCTGTCAGCCAGGCTCTCCTCCTAGGCACACAGGGCCCGTCAGAGCTGACCCTCTCATGGCCATCCCCGCGGGTAGGGGTGGGGGAGCAGCCCATCTGCAAAGGCCTC